CCTGCTGAAGTTTGATTCCTTAAAAAATACCTATTTTCACTACTTGGATTTGTAGTGAATGCTCTACCCACTTCTTTTAATTTGCTCCACAAAGGGCCTGAACACAATTCCATCTTAACAACATTATCTAAAACTACCATGGTCATCACAAAAGGAAGTAGGGAGTGTCTGAGTCAGAGTCTTTATATTTCACAGTAGAGCAAGGAACTCTTTCAGACTCACCCAACCAGCTGCTCGCTTCCTCTATGAAGAGTGTAAGGTAAGTATCTCCAAAGCCCACAGCTTAAAAGTCTAGCCAGGCACTTAGAGAAAGAGAGAAGTGAATGAGTTATGGCTGCTTCTCGGTATCTGAGAGTCCAAATTCATCAAACAATATCAAAATCGTTGCCTGGTCCTGTTCTCAGCTTCTCTGTCTCATGCTCTGTCTATGGCTGACTTTGTGGGTGTCCTGGGAGCCTGGGGAGCACCACCGTGCAGGGCCCAGGCCAGCTGAACACTCTAGGTGCTGTTCTTGGAATGAAAAATAGCATTTAGGGGATTGTGTACAAATCTAGATTCTGTATTTCCAGTGTTCTCAGTGAAGGCATTATAAGTTGGAATATACTAAATTCTGAGATTAGAATTGAACTCTGTTTTAGTTGCATAGCAAAGTGCACATCTGACTAAGGATTTATCAACATTTGAAACCACATTTTTAATAGAAATGGGAAGATTTGAAAATATTTCTGTAAAGGAGTAACTCTACTTTTAGCATTACATTTAACTTATATGGTAACAATAAAAATTAAACATGTTAAATACTAGTTATTAATTTTTTCCTCCAATCTGTGTATTTTGGTTTGGTAAATACAGAGGTCTTTTTTTCTCTCTTTCTTTTAGTAATGTACCATGAAATAGGATTACTTTTCCTTTTACAGACAAAATTATTCTAAGATTAGATAATATTTTGATCAAACATTTAAGGCAATAATTGATCAGTTAAGTATAATAAGCTTGAGTACATGAAACATTATAATTTCATGTTTTATTGAATGTAGTTTTTTAAAAAAATGATACTCGTGCTTTTAATATATTATCTGGTATGTTATTGAATGTATTTTGTTCCTTGTTTTTCCTATGCTTCATTTTAAAATTATTTTTCTTTCATCTTATTAGACTTTAAAAAATGCTTTAGTGAGGATGTATTTATTCTTTGTTTTGACAACAGAAAGGAAGGGGTAAAACATTTCTTGCATTGAAATACCCCATACGTGAGCCAATATGCTCCAGGCTTCTGTGGACTTCTAGATCCTCAAGTCTGATGTTTGGGACTGAAGAATCTTCATGAGTTGTGTTAACTTAAAAATTATAAATTAACTACATATCAATGTATTAAGTTAAAGTATTTATGTAAAGAACATAAGAATATGGTATATTTGTAGTAAAACCTAGAATTAATCAAAAGCCAAGTTCTTACAATATGAAAAGAATTTTCCTTCCTTGCTCTGTCCAGACGACTGCATATGAGAGAACATCATACTGATGTCTTTTCTGTGACTTAACATAACTTATCTTTCCTTTTCACTTTCCTGTAGTTATTTAGCCAGGACTCAAGTCATCAGGTACTTGTTGATAGTTTGTTAAATTATGTTTTGTTTGTTTTTAAAGAGTTGCTGCAAAAAGAAATTATAGGAGAAAGAAAAATTAGAGTTTTGGTACCATGTTAGTATTTATTTACCTGTCACCTGATGGAAACTTGGGTGCAACACAATTAAGTCAGCCTTATATATCGTTCTCTGTTTGCCAACAACATTCCTACTTTATGTCAGATGAGAAGAAAAAGAATCTTACTTTCATTTCTGGAATCTATAGTGCACCTACATGAAGCTTATAAAAGCAATTATGAGACATGAACATGCTTTTTGGTATTTATTTTCAACATGTATGAACAAGAATGCTTAAAGGTATATTTTCTAGTGCCACTTGTCATTTTAAAAGCCATTGTTTGAGAGTTGATAATGGTCTAGAAATGTCTGGGTTCATATTTCTCTGTAATGATTATTTTTCTAGGATGGCCTCTTTGCCATAAAACTTTCCTAAGTGATAAAAAAATATGTACTTGATGCCTAAATATACACATTTCTGTGTAGCTTCTCTTTTCTTCAGTACCTTTTGTGAAAAGTCACCAAGATGACTAAAAGATTAGAAACTAAAAATTTGCAATTATTGCTTAGAAAGTGATTTAAAGAATGATTTGAAAGAGGTTTTTTTCCACCTCAGAAGGTAAAGTAGTAAACCATAAATTAGTAAAGCAACAAGATAAGCTTGAGCTTGAGCAAAGAAAATTCATTGAAATGTGTGTTTTTGTGCTTTGGGATATGGTACTGCCAAGTAGCTTCCAGACCCCATTGGGCCAATCAGCCAGGTCCCCAAAAAGAGTCACTTAAAAATCTTTCAGGTCTTATTTTAAACATTCTAGTACATATTATACCGAATGTATTAAAATATACCCACAGTTCTCCATTAAATATAATTTTCACTGTAAATAGTTTAAAAGGGGTATTATGACTTTCTATTTAAAGTTAGTTTCCTGCCCTAGCCGGTTCGCTAGGTGGTTAGAGCACCAGCCCACAGACCGATTTGGGCCAAGGGCTTGTCTCTTGGTTGCAGGCTTGACCAATCGGGGTGTCTCTCACATCGATGTTTCTCTCTCTCTCTCTCTCCCTTCCACTCTCTCTGAAAAGCAATGGAAAAGATATCCTTGAGTGAGGATTAAAATAATAATAATAATAATAATAATAATTTGTTTCCTAACAGTGATTTTCAGCAATCAACAAAGTCTTGGAAACTATTTCAAGAGAATCTAGCTCATAATTTCTCCCTAAAATTAAGGAACTTCTTATGACTACTAAATTTAATATAAAAATCAACTTATGCTTCAATTTAGTATATTTACTTGTATGCTCAATAATTTCAATCTTACCATTTTTCACATTTTAGAAATTATACTTATTTTTCAGACATGATATATGATTTTTGAGTCCCTGAAAAGTTTGGGGGCCTCCTTAGACACTGCCAATATTGCTCACTGGATTCAATACTAAATTAGTTAACTATTTTTCTGGATAGCTATTGAAAGAACATAGATGTTCTTTCTTGTAGTAAAGTTTGTGTGGGGAGTGAATGATTTTCTCACCCTGTGTTCCTGGGGGTACAACATAGAGTGAGACCTACAGTGAATTGAAAAGTAGCTGAATTTGACCTTGAAAGACAGTCTCACTTATGATCTCGTGCCTCAGTGATGTTCTCAGGACTTGGAATTCCAAAGTGCATATGGGGTCCTCAGAACACTCTGGAAATGTCCAATTTGTTGCTTTTCAGGACAGAACAGATTCCGACCATTGTCTAGAGAATATGAATGGAGCAGCTTTAACCCATTGACCATCTACAGCGGGTCAGGTATTATATAGAGTTGTTTCTCATTTATTTTTAAACTCAAGCTCCCATTTGGTGAAATAGAAATTGAAAACTTATTTTACTGTCACTTTTAATAAAGGCATGACTTTTTGTGACTTCAACAAAGTCAGTAAGATGACAATTTTGGAATGTTCTTATTTCAAACCACACATATGTCCCTCTTCCTGACCTTCTTTAATTCCCACCCAACCCTGACCCCTCACCTCAAATGTCCTGATGCCATGGTGCGTTCCTCTTACAGGTGTAAGGGTAGAAGGACTCATGTTTTTCTGTCCTGTAAATTGATCATCCCACTGAGTAAGATGAAACTTAAAAGCTCAGAGAAGTTTAAGACTTTACCCAGGTCACACAACTATTAGCCATAGTGTTGGGATTAAGGCTGAGTTCTCATCTCTTGAGAACTGCCACACCATTGGATGTGATATCGAAGAATATACAGGGGGAATAATTTAGAGTATTCATGTTAATTCGTATGGTGAGGACAACCTCTACTGTGGTATTGGGATCAGGTTGAGTATTATGGAGAAAGTCTGCAAAGAAATACCAAAACAGATTCCTGAAGAATTCCATGGTGGGGGCGGAAACAACATTATCAAGAATTCATTTTCATCCTGGATTCTACATTTGCTATTGTACCTTAGGTTCTCTAGCAAGAGATAGTCCTCTGTGTTGGAAAGTCTTGTGAATGTTTGTGATACATAATGTGGTAATTACATTTCCATTCTCCCAAAGAATCAGAAAATGATCAGAGAATGGTCTGAAAACAATAAATACACTTACAGGACCAAAGATGCATAGTATTTGAAATAGGATCGTCTTAAAAAAATGTTAGGATGTATGATTATTCTAAGAATGTGAATGCAGGCTGTGATGGAGACAGTGGGTGAGAAAATGCTGTGTTAAATCCTCATAATTGTAGCCCCTTTAATAGACTATTTAATGTAATATTTATTTTACTGCAAACAGCACTTTTGCTTTATTTCACCTTAGAAATCTGGGTGATTTTAGAATAGGCCCCATGAATGTGTCTGCTTAGGACTTGAAAATGATTGGGGGAGGCCCTGTGGGGGGTTGGAGGAGAGTGTAGGGGGGATAAACGATGATGGATGGAGGGTGGACGGGTGGTGAACACACAATACACTGTCCAGATGACGTGTTGTGTGGAATTGTGCACCTGAAACCTGTAGAATTTTGTTAACCGGTGTCACCCCAATAATTTCAATAAAAACGAAACTCTCAGAGGCCCCTGGATAGAAATGCCGCATCAAAGAGAAATGGGAATATGTCCTAGATAAGAATATGAGGCCATGGGCAGAACACAGAAGCCTTGCTTAGAGAGTATCCATGTAAAAAAGACGAGTGTGTCATAACCTTGTTGCCAGAAGAGAGAGTTTTAGAGGGTCGGCAACAAGAGCACTGGACCAGAGGCTGAAGGCAGGAAGCTTTTAAAAAGTAAAAGAATGTGAAACCCAGTATACTCAGAGAAAATGTACTTGAACTCATAGCATTTCCTTGATGTCCTTCAGGCGACGCTCCCTTCCACGATGGCTTCCCTGGCGACAGTAAATGCGGAATTTTGCTTCAATCTGTTCCGAGAGATGGACAACAACCAGGGCAGCGGGAACGTGTTCTTCTCCTCCCTGAGCATCTTCACCGCCCTGGCCATGGTCCGCCTGGGTGCGCGAGGGGACGGCGCTGCCCAGATGGATAAGGTCAGTCCCCGTCCTGACCCCTGCCGTGAATCCTTAGGGCAGCTGGTTCCCCTGACAGTGCTTGATTGCCAGAGCCCCAGGAAGCCAGGACACCCCGATGGGCTCCCCTGCAGGCGTGCAGAGTGCACCCAGCTCAGGGCCCTTGTTTGTCAGCTGGGAGGGGGCGACACTGTTTCCAGAACCGCAGCTTTGGCCTTTCACCTTAGCACAGGCTCTCCGAGTGTTTCCAAGGCCAGCCGTCTCAGCATTACCCGGAGGGCTTGTTAGAAATGCAGATGCTTGGCCTTCTGCTCACACCCACCTGACCAGAGACCCCAGGGATGGGGCCCAGCCTCTGCGTTTCAGTCAGCCCTCGGGGTGCGCAGGGGAGCTGGAGAGCCACCGCCTGGGTGGACGTGAGTGAGAAAGGAGGGCTCCAAGGAGATTCCAGAGAAGTCCCAGTTGAAATGCTAGTGGCCTGGGCACAAATGACATAACAGCGGCCTCCCTGGGTGGTCATCGCATTGTCACCGCCACCTTTTAGAAAGTGCTTATGAGCCCTGAGCCAAGCTGCGCAGGGAAGTGAAATGGTCACGGTTTCTCTCACTTCTCTCAGGAATTTGTCATCAGAATTCAGGAGCGGGAGAGACACCAGGTCCAGGCTGCCTGTGAAGGCCATTGTCACCCCTTTTGCCCACCCATTCCTCCTGTTACGGCATCCATCTGTATGTCTCTTCTAAGCACTGCCATGGACCAATGGTCTTTTCTCTTTTTGATGCTCAAATGGTTGCAGTTGGGCCAGTACAAATCCCTTCAAACTTGTCTTTTAAAATAATTCTTCCAGATTAGTCTAAACTATCTTTGCTTACTGACAATGGGATGTTCTAGATGTCTCTTGAATTTTCTTGGCTCAAAGAAAGGTCAGCTACCCTCTGCAAAGTCTGGTTCCTTTGCCGGATAATAGCATTGAAGCCCAGAGTCGGCATAAGTGAGGTTCACTGGGGTTAAGGTGACCTGCTTGCCACTGAGTGAGGGAACCAGAAAGGGACACTTATTTATAAGGTCTTGTGTTCAGGTTCATAGTTGTTTATTTAGCTCTAATATGACTGTACTTTCTTGATTTAATATAAAATTTTTAAAATTTTATTTCCATTTTTTGAGCTTCTTGCCTCTCTTTTCTCTCTCACATAACATTTCCATTGAAATACAGTATATTATAAATTTTTATCCTAAATCATGTTTTTATATTACAATATTATTTAAAAGTTATACAAATTGAAATTTTCTAAAACACAATTGGGTTTTATCAAAAGCATTATAAAAATAATCATTATAATATATTACTTATTCTACCACTTCTGCAGGAAGATGTAATAGTTTTTTAATTTGGCATGAAAACACAGGGAGAAGCCTATGCAGAATTATTGGGATACAGGTGACTTATTGTATCATTTTTTTACCCTCAATCCTAATATCCTGAAATTCCTTACATTGTATATACCCATAATTTTCTTCTTTTTACCATCATCTGAATTTGTTACCAGTTATTAAAAAAAAAAAAGAAAAATAAATTTTGATTTTCCTACATAGGGACTCTAGGGTATAAAAAAGCATAGAACTCCTAGCATTTCAAATGATGGTAAATATGCCCTTTGAAATTTTATTTAATATTTATCACATTTAATATTTACTAGTATCATCATTCATCTTTAGCTATGGTTGTTTTACTATTGAATCTGTAATTTCTTAGAATTTTAAAAAATAGAAAAACAGATATGTATCACCTTAATATTGTATCAGTCTAGTTTACTAAAAGCCAATTAGAAATGTCAGAAAAGGCAACCAAATTAATATCAAAATGGAGTAAAATTAGAAATAATCAAAGAATGATGTTAAATATTGATACTTACTAAACTTTTTCTCAAAAGTTACCAAGAAAGACTTCTGGAGATTCATATAATTTTTGTAATAATTTCTGGGTTCCACAAGTCAGCTCAGAAAAGACATTGGGATCTTTGAGTCCTGACACTTTATTATTGTATTTATTTTTCTAGTACATCCATTTACTTTCAAATGGCAATCTATACAATGGGGACTTTAGGACTCTAAAAGAAAACCAACAAAACAAAACAAAACTGCAGAAAATTTAAAATGTTAATCTGATTTAGGAGGAGTTTTGGCCAAAAAGGGAGGGATTTCATTTCTCCTTGCTAGGCTTCACATTAATTACCAGGTTCTTTTTATGAGGGAGTGAATGAAATATTTAAAAGTCTGAGCACATACCATTTAAAAGGTTTTCCACAAACCCATTTACATTTTATTCAAGATTACATAATAATAACTATGACTTCTAATGTTTTCTCAGCCTTCTTTTGGTTAAAGTTTTCTCCCTGAACTATTTCAAAGCTCATAGAACTGGATCCTCCTACTCCCAGCCCCTCATCGTAGGGAGAAAAAACACTTAAGGGACGACCAAGCTCAAGGTCGGTGGACACAGTCTGGCCAGTGCCTCTCTCTCTCCGTCTTATACGGAGGTGACTGAGGGTGATAACCTCTGTTTGCAACCTTTTCATTTTCATTTCAGGGGCACTGACAGGTCAGCTTCATCTAACTTCTAACATAAACGTTACAATGCAGAATGAAACAACTGTAATGACATGGTCCAGATTATAAGGACCCATGCTTTTATTTCCTCTCCTTGTAACAACAAAATAAATAATTCCATGGAAATGTAAGGTCCTCATTGAACCTTCATCTCTTAATGACAAGGTCCCAACTCCGTGTTTACCAATGGAAGGGTCTTAGTCACAATAAAATTGACCACAACCCAATGAAGCAGTTTAAGGACCCTCACAACTCTATACGATATTCTGTAAGGCATTGGACATCTTTGTGTTTGGCCAAAGCAAAATGAGAAAGGGGGCTGATGTTCTTCATGCTTCATAACGTCATCAAATTAGAGAGAAAATGACACTCAGGCTGCAAAGACCCCACTTGTGAATTTTAAATTAACTACTAATTTGTATATCAAATCTGCCTTCTTGATTTTACTTTATCTCTCATTCCATCTCATATTATTATTCAAGATTAAGAGTATGTAGCAATGAAGTAGGTTCTCATTCTCTGTGACCTATTAAGACTAATAGTGCCACTCTTGGCCTTGTTAAGTTTTCATATCTCTCGCCGAGCTGTCCCATTTTCCCCTAGCCAATAAGATGTTGATGTGAATTGGGGGTCTGAAGCCTTGATGTCAAAAGCCCCACAGGGGCACTGATAGCAAGACTGACTTGTTTAATTAAATTACCCTTCTGTTCACCCCCACTGCCCACTAGGGATGTGTCTCAAATACAGCAGACAGGATACCTTAAAGAAAAGCTACATATTTCTACCAAAAAAATCCAACCAATAAGATTCTAGGAGTCACAAACTGAGACAGTGGGACAAATCCACAATTGCCTGGTGGCTATTTAAACCTTTCAAACCATTGGTTGGAGGAATATAAGTTAGATGAGCCCACGGTTGCCTTCATGTGCTGTCCATCCAAGCCCAGGAGGCAGCACATGTTCAGTTTGCCCCAGTCACTTGCACAAGTGATTGTCAGATGGCCAGTGTCCTTTCTTGCGTCTTCATAGAGGAGCTTGCATTTCAGATCCCACAGACATAAGGGTCTGGGGGAATTCAGACAAAGTGCAACAGAAAATCAAGGCTTGGGCACAGAGCAATTATTAGAAAAATGGGGCTCTGAGAGCCACTCTGGAAAAAGGAAAACTCAAAACTGCTTAATTTCAAATAATTGCAGGATCAAAAATCATATTTCCCAAGTCCCAAATTAACTTCCTACTTAGGCATTTCTAGATAGTCAATAATGACTTCTCCGTTTTAGGCTTTGGAGCCCATGGGGTAAGCTTTAGTCTTGCCTCCCACTTGATTAAACAAAGTTTTCGTTTTTCAGTCGGCCCCTTTTCATTCTTGTCCAGGTTTAATCAGTGAGCACTTATTAAATTACTCGCCCAGAACGAGTAAACTAAAATAATTCAACACATGTCATTCATGGCCATTGATTTCACTCTTCCAAGGTATACTTTCTCCAGTGAGCCAGATGTTGTAACCAAGCCAGTAGAGTAGCTGCACAGCTCACCCCTGCCCCATGTGCTCACACACACACACACACACACACACACACGGAAGACTCCACGCCTCATTTTATCTCCCCAGGTCCCTTCTTGTTCAGCATGACCTGCTAACGGCTTCCCTTGTCCCTGTTTGCAGATACTCCACATCAACACCGTCCAGGGACATGGAAACTCCCCTAACACTCAGGTAAAGACAATGTTTCCTTTTAGAAAAACAGTCTGTGAGACTAAATTTAGAGAAATCCCTGTCTCCCTGACATATTGAATTACACTCTCTGTCCTTTCAAAGCAAAGGAGCATTTTTTACTCAGATTTCCATATTCTGAATATTTCAGAAATGATTTTTTGGAAATTTCTTTGTTAATTATTAATTTACCAATATTTTACTTGTGTGTTGGCCAGATTTGGGCAAGGTAGTGTGGAACTAAATGTTTTGCTTTTATCTTTGATATTCACTGCCAACTTACATTGGTAAAATGAATTATTTAGTGCACATAGTAGGCAAATTTATTATCTTCTGTTAGTAATTTTATTCTATGGTTAATCATTTACTTTAGTAAATCCTTTAATTGACTTTGATCACAGACACTACTGTGAGAAAGGGTAAGAAGTTGTAGATTTATGTGGCATTATTTGCTGCTTTTATAGTGTTATTATCTTTCAATTCTTTTATGGTACAATGTACATGCTTTATTTCCTATGTAAATAAAAGTATGTCTATCTTTTCAGTCCAAGAATAAATTTCTATAACTTTTTTTTAACAACAGCCAGGAGTCCAATCTCAACTGAAAAATGTTCTCTCCAATATAAACGCATATCACAAGGATTACGATCTCAGCATGGCCAATGGTCTCTTTATAGAAAAAGTGCATGACTTTCATGAGGTAAGTTCAGCCTCCTGTCTTAGAAGGTTATTTTCATTTTGGACCTGAGTCTTGTTCAATCCAGCATCTGAGCAAAGGCTTACATCTTTCTGCTGAACCATACAAAGGTGATTTTTTTCCCTTGTCACCACTAAGTAGGTTCCCAGGCGTATTCAAAATATCATCACTTGTTTTCAAAGTACAACTTCACTTCACCCGAGTGATCCACATATTCAGGGTCACTAGACGGACAGGCTCCAAAATCGAAGCGAACTTGTCCTGTGGCTGCGATGTAAAGCTGTCCTTTGGGTTGGGGGGAGCAGATGGCCCACTTAGGGTTACCCACAGGCAGCAGGGGGAGAAATCTGCCCACTTTTTTCTCTGAGCTTTATGTCTGCTGGGGTAGTTTTGCAGCTCCAGTGTTGCATTCACCTTCTTTTTTCTCAGTCATGCCCTTTCATTTCTCCTTACTTATCTTTTCAATCAAATCAGTTATAAAAAGAATTCCTGGTAGGAGACACAGCCAGGCGAGGCCAGCATTGGCAGAGGAGCAGTTCAGACTTGACCCAGAGGCGCGAGTAGGTTTCCTTGAGGTCGGCAGTCTAAATTTTAGTATTACTCTATGGTGTTTGTATTATCAATTTATTCGTCCTAGTATGTGCCCACCCAAATGCCAGTGAGGTCAGACGCACGCTCTGTGTTGCTGTGCTCAGCCCATACCCTACAACGGTCACTGCTGTGGCAGCCAGGAGCTGGTGAGTGCGACCCAAGCAGACACAGTGGCAGTGAGTCTCTGGGCAGGTTTGTTTGTTCACCCTTTTAATTCTCCAGTTCCGAGACGACTATGAAACTGCTCCTCTGTGACAGCTCTGGACTAATCCTCACTTGCATCTTCCCAGCTCTGTGTGTTCCACCCAGCCATTATAGTGTCCTCTGCCTGTCGCCCACTCACATTCTTTGCCCCTTTCCAGCGCCACTCCTAAATCCTTGGGCAACCTGCCCATTACAAAGCATTAGGCCACTTTGTTTTTCAATCTTCCCCCAAGAATCCTAGACTAGGGTTCCAGGGACCACCGTGCATGTTCAGCCCCGCAGTTCGGGCCTATTCCCACGCATGCTGCTGTGTCCCCGAAGGGCTGCCGACTCTTCAGTGGAGGTCGCTGTGTCTGTCAAGCTACTATTTATAGCAGACTCCCGGGGGCCCTTTCCTGGCCCTCAGCGAGTGCACAGAGCAAGGCGCCTAGAAACACAGTAAAGGTGAGAGCTGATGAAGAACTTGGAAAAATGGAGACACTGAAAGTCTGCTATCGTTGGGCAACGTGAAGAGGATGACACAGTGAAGTTTACAGAGCAGTTAATTCTCACAAACCAGAAGCTGTGGACCTGATCGTCATTAAATGTATAGGAAATGGAAGGTTAGCCTGCAGCGTTCACCCAGGCCTTTTACTGTCATGAGTGACCACCAGATATTTTCAAAAGCAAGAGATGACTCATAGTCTAAGCATCATGACACCGTAATGGAACTTTGATTAATGAAAGCTGCTTATTCTTCAATTAAAAAAAAAAGAGAGAGAGAGAAAACTTTTTTCTTGGTCACAGGATTGGGAAATCTCAGTTCGCTTCCTCCACTTACAGGAACACACACAATGAAAAACCTTTAATTCAACAACTCAGCCAGGTGACTGCATCAGTGCAGGCCACGGAGAAGAAGAGTTTCGCCCAGGCCACAGCCTGAAGAGGACAGCCTCTGATGGGAAGAAGACAGAGCCAACCATAGCCTGTAAGAAGACAAGAACTATTGGAGGCACACTCTTTCCCAATCTGAAATCCTGCAGTACCATATGTCATCAAAGGGCTTCCCAAATGGCTGGATCACATATTCATTTTTTAAAAGGCATTCAGGTAGAATGAAGAGTGCCAGGTAAGGGGCAGGTTTAGCCGAGTCCTAACTGTGTCACGTTATTGCTCTGTGTTCTTCAATAATCAGTTCATACATCCAAGCCTTAGTTTCCTGGTTGATAAAATGAGAGAATTGTACAAAATAGTCTCTATGGCTCTCAACCTTCATGGTTTAATTTGTAATTTTGAATCTTCAATATGCATTGAAAATGGAAATTATGCATGGTATTGTGTGGCAGCTAAAACAAAAGTGTCCCCAATGTACCATCTTCATTCAATATCCAACAACTATTTCCTGAGCACTGACAAAGTGCCAAGAATCATAAGGACATGGTGGGGATGCAGAAATGATATATTGAGTTAACATTTAAAAACCAATAAACGTAACTCACTACATTGAAAAATTAAAGGGGAAAGAACTTAACATCATTTCAATAGATGCAGAAAATTCTCACAAGCTAGAAAGGGAATTTTCTACATAAAATGTTTTTGGTAAAATACCAAATGTTTTGCCTTAATACCAGGAACAAGACAAGGATGTTTCCTGTAACATTTCCATAAACATTTTACTGGAGTCATAACCAGTACGAACACTGAACTGGAGGTCACAGACAGGAAGAAAAAAATAAAATAAAATTTATTTGGATTGGGAAGGAGGAAATAAAATCATCATTGTTCACAGATAACAATTGTGTATGTAGAAAATCGAAAAGATTTTAGAAATCAGTTATTAGGCTTAATAGTGAATTATCAAGTTTAGCATATAAACTCATTTCTATTTCTATGATTTTATAATTTAAAAATCAAATTAAAAACAATAAATCCACAGTGGCATTATAAAACATTAAACACCTGGGAATAAATCTAATGAAAGATGTCCACAAATCAAAAGGTTGCTAAGAGAAATAAGAATTTAAAAACAAAGGATACATTTTGTTCATGGATAAAACATTCAGTATTATAAAGATGTCTATTTATTTGCAGATTCAAAGCAATTGATTTTGGAGAAATTGATTTTAAAATTTACATGGACATGCAAAGAACTAAGAAAAGTAAATTGTGAAGGAAAAAACCCAGAGGATTTACATTACTGAAAATTAAGGCTCAAAAGCTATAATAATTAAATTTGCTGGCATTTTTGCAAAGAGAGAGAGTAGACCAGAGGAACACAGTAAAGGACCCTGAAACAGATACATAGAGAAGCTTGATTTATGATAATTGTGACTCTACAGAGCAACAAGGAAGAGGTGACATTTGTAATAAATGGCATTGGCTCAACTGGCTAGCCATAGAGAAAAATGTATCTTGACACCTATCTGTATGCCAAAATATCAATTCCAGGTGGCTCTTAGATATAAATGTGAGTAGTGAAACAACAAAGTGTTTAGAAGATAAATGTGGATTATTCTTAAGACCTTAAACAAGCAAAGATTTTCTAATCTTTGTTTTGGGTTACATAAAGCACTAATCCTATAGGATAAAGCAGACAGGACAAGTGGCACTAGAATTAAGAATTTATTTTCATTAAAGGACATCATAAAGAGAGTAAAATGGCAAGCCACAGTGGCAGAACGTATTTGCAATACATATAAGCATCAAAACACTGATATTCAAAACCAAAGGCTCCTACAAAAAGATAAAAGAAACACAAACAGCCCAGTCGAAAATCTTGAACTAACATTTTACAAGAGAACACATTTAATTGGCCAATAAACATATGGACAGACAATCCTCAATAGTTTTATTCTTTGTCATTTATGCTTCATGTATCTTTCTAGGGACATAAGCAGAAGTGCCTGAAGGTGATTGGCAAGACATACTAGCTGGACTAAACAAAAATTTTATGTGTCACACACACACACACACACACACACACACACACACAAATTCTTGGTGACCCAAAGCTCTTCCAGAATTTGTCTGAAGCTCTGACACCCTGCACTCATCAAGTTCTCTGGCCAGGGACTGTTCTTAAAATTACTCTTTGTAGCCAGTGTCAGAATGGATGGATGGATGGATGGATGGATGGATGGATGGATGGATGGATGGATGGATGGATGGATCAGAAGATGAAAAGAGTCTTACCCATGGAAGCCTTCTTTATAGATGTAATATCATCCTGCAGACAGACAGTGGATATCCCTTGACAATACACATGATTTGTAATGAATCTCATTTTCCCCAATGATGAAAAGATTTCTCTCAAAATGTATATGCATATTTGTTGTATTGCTTGTGTGTTGATAAATTAGATCACCATGATTTCTTTTTATTAAAAACAATAAATATTTATTGAGCACCTATTATGTGCAAAGCAATGTGCCAGAGACTGAGAATACAATAATAACTAAGGCATGTATGGTCCTGACTTTACCGAATTTACTGTCTTGTGAGGGGCTTGGAAAATCAGATGTAAGTAAGATGCCGTGAGATAATAGCTGGTCAGAAAATGAAGGTGAAGGGACTGTTGGAGGACACAGGAAGGGCCAAGGGAAGACTTGTATCAAGGAAGGGCATCTGTGCTTGGAACTAGAAAGTGAGGAAGGCATAACCACGGGGACGTTCCAGGCAAATGAATGCTGTTCAAAAGCCTCCATGGAGACAGGATACCTGGCACTTCTGAGGAGCTCCCTGTAGCTGGGTCTGGCTGGGAGCAGAATATGAAGGGGACAGTGGCTGGAAATGAGGAAAGTGGATGCAGATCAGCAGAGCCTTGCAGGTCAGGTCCGGGGATTTGGGCTTTATCTTAAGTTCAGGAAATGGCCTTGACAAGTTTTCAGTAGGATGGGGGTGACATAAGCAAGGGAGACAAATTTGGAGCCTCTTGAAGTATTTATGATGAGAAAGCAGCAGTAAAGCAAGGAGGTGGGCATTAGCCCTAATCTGTTAGTCTCCCCCAATCCATTTCAGATATACTTCTGTTAAACAGTCTGCTTGAGCTCCTCAGTTTCCCTTCCAGCCATATTTCCATATTTCTAGCTGTATTTCCTCACCTCTGAGAAAGGAATGAATCTGTGAGTAAATTGGTAAAAATAAAGAGCCAAATTCAGGAATATATTTCTTATATGCTTAGTTGGTGGTGACTTGTAAATATAAGAACTACATAACACTTATAGAACTGTATATTGTTTGTGTTTATAGGACTATATGAGGTGTGCTGAAAAATTATACAATGCCAAAGTGGAACGAGTTGACTTTACAAATGCTGTAGAAGACACCAGATACAGAATTAACAAATGGGTTGCAAATGAGACACATGGTGAGTGCAATGCTCGATTTTTCTACAGGTCAGTCAGTTATATGTGAATGCTGAGAGCTGTCAACGTTAAAATTAGGAGTCTTTTGTGCACAGAAGGAACTGCTCTTCATAATCCAAAGCAATGGTTGTTGGTATTTAAAATTGCTTTAGTATTTGTCTGCAATGCGATGTTGAGCAATCCTAATAGTTTGAATGCTTTATACCTTTAAGAAGTCTTGGTTATTAAATGATCTCATTTGATTGGGAAATAATCTTATAAGACAAATAGATTTTATTATGGCCATTTCATAAATTAGTGATAAGTTAAGGTAATTTTCTGTTATCCTCAATATATTGAGCCTGGTTAGTGAACAAGGCTAAGAGTAGTTTATAGGACATTATTTTTAATGACCACAACTTAATTCATCTAGTAATCAATCCAGCATCTTACTGTTCCTTCTTTGACTGAAGGATCTCATTAAAATTATGACATCCTACTTTCTAAGAAATATATTTCTTATCATTGCTTTTTCTAAGGGATGCATACTTTATCTTTAATTTAAAAATTATTTTTATTTATCAAAGTAGTATATGCGGCTCAGGTAGTACCTTCAAGAAAAAAGTACATTTCTTTATTAGTAAGTATCTTTCAGCTTAACACTGAATCACAGCTAACATTCTGGACAAAGCAAATAAAGAAATCTATTCCTTGTTGTTTTGTTAACCAACGACTCCAAAGCTAACCATTTTTTTTTTTTTACCTAAGGCTTGGTTTCGTTTTATACTCTAAACAATACAGATGCATTTGCTGAGTCTGGCTCTGTGTTAGAAATATGAGACGTGATTTGTACTGTTAAATGCAAACATTCAACAGCATCAGTTAACCCTGGGAACAAGAATACAGTGTCTGAGATGTCTCTTTGTTCATTTTTCATCATTACATCAGTAGAGGGTTGCTTTGACCATCAGCAACTATATGTTTCAAATATTCTACTCATACATCAAGGGAAACTATGCAATTACCTTTCTAATAACTGAACGGGCTTTTATTTACTGCTTAGTATTTGAAGGTATCAGGTTACTAATACTTTTCTCCATTTGTACCATTTATTTCTGTTCCTTTTCCATGCAAATACATACGTATATATTAATTATTCTCATTTTGATAAGCATATGTACTCAATACTCACTTGGGCGGACACTTCAAGTGTTGCCGATAATGCCCCCCCCCCCC